CCGCTGGCGTCTTGAGACTTAGTCCCGCGAGCCTTTGCGCTAAATGCATACAATATATGCAATTATATAATTAAATTAAAAGCTAAAGGTAGCGTTACTTAGAAGATTCTATAGAAAGTGTATTACTTTTTAAAACAAATCATTTGTATATACTCACTTAAATCATAAGGAAAAGACAGAGCAAAAACAATAAGTATCACATTATAGAGTTCTTAAAGTGTTTGCGCCATTCACTTATTACTATATCTATCCTTCGGAACCTTCCGCCCCGGTGGTTTCAGGGCATCGAGTATCATATTTACCTACCTTTTTATATATTGGAGTTAATCATACGGAATGAGACAACAAAGCCGCATACAAACGAGAGTTAGGACATGTTAGAACGTAGATAATATGCGCATTGCAAGAAGACATACTGCATCGTTTCACGAACTGCTAAGATTTTATCTACAGTGCTGTACACAGTAAACATTAAACTGTGTTTAGTAGAGAGTGTAAGGCAAAAAACCGAGCTTGTTATTTTAAGGCAAGATCACCGATCCAATAGTTTTATTTCTATTATTATTAGAGGAGTGAATGAAGCCTACGTCTGCAATCCCTGGTCGAAGTCGGAACAAAAGTCTAAGGGAAGTTCGCTTCGTTAAGTAAAGGCTGTAACACAGGCAAGGGTCGTTTTTCACTGTTTGTTCTTTTCCTCTCCATTGTTCGTTTATTTCTATATGCATATCCTCCAAAAAAGCTCTCACTGCTCTCCTATTTCTTGTAATATATTATTGTACATTAGCCGAATTTTTCATATAGCAAGGGCTCCAAAACGTGTTTTTGACACCTATTTTTTTGTCTTTTTTGCCGAAAGCAAAAATCTGCTAAACAAGTGCGGAATTTTTGTATCGTGTGTGGTGTGAATTGCATGTTTGGGAAGGCGTTTCGAAACTGATTGACGAATATTAATGATGCCATCTTGGAAATGGAAGATGCATGTCGTCCTGATTGGCTATCCGAGGTCTTTGAAGGTAGCCTGATATCACTTTGTAGGAAAAACGGCCGGCAAACAACTTATGAGTTGAGCGAAAAGATAAACTACAATTATACGACTGAAGAGAGGCGTTTTTGACCTATGACATTCACTAAAAAATTAGTAGCCTGAAGGGCCCATGAAGTGAATACACAACACAAAAAAACACGGGTTCTCATTGCTCCTGTACATATCGCCCGGTATTAAATAGCATGCAGCTACAATGATAGATATTTACAAGGAATTCGCACCAGCGGTAAGAATCAGTATCTATACATTAATATTAAGGAGAAATATTAATGGGTAGGTTCGGAAGGTACGTCTACAAACAGAATTATTATTATATTACAGAGTCTTATCTAACAAAAACACGACTTGCATTTGGTAAGACCGGAAAAGCGTAATACGACAAAAAAGATTAATAGGAACAAGATGGTCAACAAGGAAATATATAGAGCCCGTCTGCACTGATTGAATGGAGCTATCCAACAAACAGCCGGATAGACAAGGAAGGCAAAGTTACCTTTGTCCACGACAATGCTAGGCTGTGCGCAACAAAGACTGTGAAAGTTACTCCGCAAGAGCTTGAGTAGAGGCTTTTTGTATTCAACATATTTTGTAGGCCTTTCGCCTACAGATTACCACTTTTTCCGATCAGTGGCAGATTGAATCTGTAATCGTATATTCGATAGTGAAGGAGTGTCAAAATCCAGCTGGACAATTTCTTCAACATCAGATCTGAAAGTCTGAGGGAGTACTTCAGTTGGTTAAGAAATGAGAGAAGAGCATGGGGAACAGTGACGAATACATCATGAAATAACTTGTTATTCAGATCCGAGTCAAACGTTTTTTTTTTTTGTTATAAAAGAAACGATCTTACTTGTATGATATGATAGCTTGGTTGAAGCTCTTATTTGGTCTATAGCGATAGTGTTGATAGTGATGGTACTAGACCAAAACGCACGCATAAAATGTTCGGTTCTTGTACCCTAATAGCCGACTTATAACTGTGCTCGTAATGCCACATTCACGCTACCCACAGGCCAATTGCAAACATTTGCGTTGTACTTTTGCAAGCACTATGCAGTGAGTGATTCTTGGCCGTGTATTTTCTTTCGTGGAAAATAAGAATGGAGTACCGAAAGGAACACATTATGTTCTATGGTAATAACGAAATCAAGTAGTATCAGTAATGCAAACGCCTTTATGAAGAAAGCTACGAGTCAACGCTATGTACATCTGGTACAAACGATTTCGTTAGGAAAGCGTAAAGAAAACAGTTCGTTCTGAACGGCCGGTCATAAGGACTACGTGGGAGAAGTAAAACATCTGATCTTGAAGGACCGCTGAAACCCTTTCAAGGAGCTCGCAGAAGAGTGAAACGTCTGACATGAGTCATGTCAAATCATTTTGAAAAGCCATTTCAAAGCCCGGAAGCTCACAGCAAGAATCAGGCTAAAAATACCCGACTTTTGAGTAAACTTGTTACCAATTGTATAGGAAAAAAACTTAGCTTACTTTGCAAGGAACCAGATCTGCTTCAACGCGTTACAAGTAATCAATGCGTATGATGTGAAGATAAAAACAAAACCAAGCTTTTTTCCATTATTTTTTTCCATTATTGGAAAGTCGTGAATTACAGAGTTATATCGAGCTGTCCTACTGCCACTAAAAGATATTGACATGAAACAGTATTTTTTTCAGAATTAGGGTCACCCCTAAGAAATCACCGTACAAATATAGATAAGATCATTTGAACCTATCGTTTGTTACAATGATTTAAAGCTTTGAGAGTAGCTAGAAAAATGAATCACTAATTTTTTCCTATTTTTAGATGCTTAGAAGCTCATGTCGAATACTCTGGACAGAGTCCACTAAGGGAAGCCAACCTCCTGCGATAACTATGGAACATGAGTATATAATAAACATAGGAATTTATTCAAAAAATTATGTAGTAGACTTAGATAAGCAAATAAATGGTTACTTGAATAAATATGTGTTACCTTAATTAGTAAAATTAAAAAATGTATGTAGATATGCGCTCCACTAGATTTCGTGCTAGATTTTTGTGTGTACTACTATTTGTCTTGTGTACAAAACTTTTTTTCTAATTCGTTTGAAATATAATTCTCTTTTGTTACTGCTTTTCGAATTTAGCTGACTCTTTAACCGAAACTACAATCTTAACACAATTACCTAATTTCCTAAATGTTATACATTGTCTCTCATACCGTTAAAGCGTCCTGATATAACAGGAGCCTTAACGCGCCCCACATGGAGTTGTTTAAATGCGGATCACTACGTTTCGACTGAACCAATACTAAAGATGATTATGCTTAATTTTAGGGCAGTAAACAAAAGATAAATTAGTTTCAGATTTCTAAGATTGTTGATTGCTTTGCCCTGCTATACGTAAAACAACACTTACACATAGGATATCAGTAATACCCTGAGCATATTGCCAGTTTTGCAACAGTATAGTATAAACTATTGTACACCTTAAGCATAGGACTTTCGCAAGAAGATAATTCTTAGTGGACACAATCATGGAAGATTTTTTAGACACTGATCTGTGTACATTGGAATGTTGTGCTTATTGAAACAAAACTTCAAAAAGTTTTGCCAGATTTTCTTCAGAGCTTCTTCACGCTCTATGAAAAGCTTCCTCATCAAAATATAATCGTAACCATTGCACATATGGCAAGTTGTCTGCTGAAATATTGAGCTAAATAGAATGCCTAGGTATTGCGACAGGCTTGCTTGTTTTCATTAAAATCTAATGCAAACTAAACAAATTTCTATCTATTCGAGTCAGTCAAAAATCAAAGAAAAGGAAATATCTTTCGTAATAGAAAAGTTCATAAGTTAAAGATTTAACCTAGTAGCCTTTTCAAATGTATACAGCAAGTTTCTGGGCTAAATAAAAAGGCAAAATTGCTTACCGGAAAACTTCTACTCAGACGCTACGTCTTTTGCAGATAGAAACTGTATAGCTTGCAGATGCATTTGTAGACCACTCTTTAAACTATTATAAATTTGAAGGCGTTAGTCACGGGGGTCCAACACCTGTTGTCCCGTTAACTGATCGTATCGCAATTATATGGAATGATTGCGTATTTTAATTTTAATATAGCTTCGTCGCTGCAAACGATCGTCTCTAAAAACTATACATCCCGTTCATGTTTTTTTTAAATACCATCGACAAAATTGATTTTCTGGTTCTGGATCATTTTTTTTACAGTGTTTTTTATTCCTGGCTGGTGAAGCTCGTAGACGTTCCTGGTCTTCCAGGACGCTGTGCATGAGCATCCCGATCAGTTCCATCCGTTTCAAATTTATCCTTTATCCGATTAACTGAAAATGGCGTAGCTGAATCTCCCTGGAGTTACCTACTATATTGTCTTTGTACTTCGCTGACATTTTCCTATTTCGAATGACATTTTAATGATTAATCGAATGAAAGTTAATCATGAGCTACTCATCATTATCAAGTAATGACACTCTGAAAATATCAAGGACTTATGGCTTTACTGAGTTAGCTCTCAGTAACATAACGGAGCTCATTCGTCATGGCCCCGGAACAGTGACGCTCTCATTGGCGTCTCTCACAATGCTTCCAAAACCTTTGATTCCTTGCGATATAGTAGGCTGTTAAGAATGCTTTCTCATTTTGACGTAAGTAATAATTACTGCCGATAGCTCTGATTTCATATAGGTAATAGAATTATATGGACGCAAATAGGAAATGTCCTTTCTGACCGAGTTACGACGTCAACAGATATTGCTTAACGCTCTATCTTAGGCCTCTTTTGTTTTATTCTACATAATAACGTTATTTTATTTTCCGTCAACGATAACTTCTTCTATTGCAGAGCAGTTTCGTTTTCAGAAGACACATCTTCTTTTATTTCAGACGAATAAAAACGCAAACGTTATTAAAGGAAATTAGAATTCATTGAAGAATTAATTACTGGAATTAATGTCAGCCTACAGAATGTTAGGAAACCATGTCCTTCGCTCCAGGTAACTCTGTACATATATAAAATTAAATTCGTTCCTTCCAGTCAGCTCAGTCAAATGTTCGCATTGATGGCGGTAATGATGTTTCAGCTAATTTTCTTTTGTTCTTTTTACAGTCGTGTGGTATTACGCTTTAGAAAAAAATAAACCGGACGAAGCTGGTTACTTAAATTACGTCTACGGCAAAAGTAGCAGTTGCATGTTTGTCCCGTCTTCACAACGCTTGTTTAACTATCTCCGTGTGCCTATTGTGCTTTTATTTAGCCTCTATTATGTTACTATATTGCAGCCGGCTGTGGGTCTCATCCGATAATTATTGAGAAGTTTCAAGACGTTAAAAATTATGCAGTTCGACTTATGCTCAGCCTGCGTTGATCAAGCTCAGCTCCGAAGGATTGCCTTTAGCGTAAAATTTTCAATATCCATAGTCTATATAGGTACATAGCAAAAATCGACGTCTTCGGGGATCGCCGAGAAAGCTACTGATTGGCATCATGATTGAGTGGATTTTCAACCTTGCATGTCATCAAAACTTTAGACATAATAGCACGCGAGACTTATCCTTTAAGGAAGAATTTTGTTTGCCCAACATGGCTCAAGCAAGGCAGTTGCAAGAGCGTGTAACAACCTTGTATTATCAGCCAATTCTAACAATCTTCCTGAATTTGAAACAGAAGTTAAAAATGACATATGTTCCAACAAACAAATGTATATGTTTTTAAATAAATTCTACTATGCACATATAATTGAACTTTTCGGCTTAATGCATGGTTAATGGTTGATAAAGAAAAAGAGTTAAATAGAATAACGTAGCCTCGCTTAGGGCTTTAACCTAGTGCTAATGTTTCACTATATACTTTTAAAATAGGTATTAAGTTGTATGACGGAGTTGTAAAAGCCTTTTTATCCTGGATCGCTTCAGTTAGACTCAAACAAAAATGCATCAAAAAAATTATTTTTGTTATGTTAATTTATTTATTGACGTATACAATTTCGTATACCTTTTACGCTTATCGCGGAATCAGTTATTTATTGCTGATTAAATAATATACTACTGATTATTAATTCAATTAATTTCGTCATGCATGTATACCTATTGTTATGCCAGAGGCAAATAAATTGAATAAAATAGCAGTCAATGCTACGTGTAACAAACATATAATTCAGTTGCCTACCTTTATCATAAAAATTTCACAAAAGAAGCTCCCGGGACAGCCAGATCCGCAAATTTTTGCTAAGGTAGCGGCGCCAGTAATTTCAGTCATTTGAAAAAGAACAGTTTACCTATAAATGTCACTTGTTTTGTTAAGTAATGTTTTGCATTAGAGTATCTATGGAACTATTCATTCCTCTAAACTCTTTATTAAGTCACCATTCCTATAATACCGTTAGCTCCAACGAAGTGGGAGATGATTTCGAGATTACAATAAACTGATTGTTCTTTCTCAATTTCGTCTCAATGAAGTCTAGGAGCGTCGGTGGAAAACCTCCCTTAATCTCAATTTCACTTATACCTCTAAACTCATCTGAATTTAGCAGTTTATCCAAATCTTTTATCAGTTTTTTTTGAACGGCAGGTTCCTCGCGCTTTTCTGTGATGACCTTAGCTAACTGTTCATAATCGTCAACATCTTCCTCGTCATCTCCTTCCGACTCACCCTCAATGAGAGCTACATGCGCACGAATCTTATCATATGTGTGTTTGTACTGTTTATTTCCCACATCATAGCACCATAACCTTTGTGCGAAATATCTTGCGCTCTTATTATATCCCAGCGCGAAGTACGCACGAGCTAGTACATGAGTAGCATCAACATTCATGGGGTTGATTTCAAGTACGCGCCTACCGAAGGTAATGGCTTGTGGGTATTTACCAACCTTCAGGGCACATACGGATGCGAGCACAGATGCAGCAAAGATTACTTTTTTACGTTCCTGATCCTGTTTGTCCATGCTGATTTTCATACGGTCTAGCATACTGATAACCTTGCATAAGGAATGCAAAGCGCTTTTTTCCTTCCCGTCCGTGAAATCTTTTTCTGCCTGAACTAACATTTCATTTATTTGTGGCATTGCTGAAAATCGGAGTTTGCCACAACGATCGACGCAAAACTGGAGTTCATTAACTTCCCACCTTATAAGATGAACCTCATAAAATAGCGCAGCATTAGGCGGGATTGCTTTGGATGGGTCATCGCTAAAAACCAAAGTGCTACTCCCATAAGCCAGAAGAGGGTCGATCCAGATCTTTGCTTTTTCACCAGAACACATCGTCAATACAGCTTTTTGTAATCCTATAGGTAGGATATTTGACACTAATTTAACCAAAGGCTCGGTGACGCTATGTCGGTAAAGTAGCTGACCAGCGCTGATACTTTGATGGAAGCCATGTGAATCATGAGTAAGATACATCGAAAGAGCCAATCGTACTTCAGCTTCTTTTGGGACTACTTGTCCTGCTCCAGGATCTATGACACATTTTTGGACATACCCGCGAAAGATGTCTTTCCACACCGGTTGCACGTTGCTTTCCATCGTGCGTTCCATCCCTGCATGGGTGAAACACACAGCACAACGATTCAGCAATTGATTATTTTTGCCTAAGTAGCTAACATTTTATCTACCCATCTGGACGTACAATGTTTTCATATTTAACAAATGTTTCGGATCTACGAATGAACTATGTAAAAGACCTGTTGTCAATGCTAGTTTGCTAGTTGAGGAACGTTTTTTTTGTAAGTGCTCTTTTTTTTAAGTTTTTTGTAAGTAATTATCCCATACAAATATAAACTTACATAGATTCTGAATAACCTCTAGCGTAACTTGCCTGCCATATAGGAACATTAACTCGTTTAGTTACTTTTGGTGAACAACGAATTTGTTTATTTTACTCAGAGACAATCAAGAATAACCCCGAAAACGAAGTTAGTCTAAAGTACGTACTAGTTGTCCGTGTTCTCACGTTTACAAATGCTATAAATAAGGCTCAGAAAGTAGGCAACGTTGATGTGAATATCAGAATATGCACGAGATACTCAGTTTCCTACCCTAAGCACACAAACAATAAGAAGTATGTTTAAACGATCGGACAGCTAACAGGTCAATAGCTGAGTATTCAATGTAGTTGAGTTCGGATCACCACAACATCAGCTGCCACGAAACAGACGACAATGAAGAGAGAAAGAGAGCTTACGCATGGCAACATTGATCTCTGCCTATGATAGCTCGGCGACTATCCAGGAGAGCTGAAGTCGAATGAACACAATATCATTCGCACCGGGGAACACGACAACGAAGAGGGAGAGAACGTTAACCAATGGCAACAGTGATCTCTGCCTACTACAGCTCGCAGGCAGCCGGCCAACCCCCAGTTATACAGATCACTCACGCGGCCGTAAAGAAAACAGCTAAAGATTACCAAGATATTGTCTATTAATTAGTGATAAATAGATATGATGTGAGCGACAATTCAGTTTCATCCTACGCTTCAAGACGTACCAATATTAGAGTAAATCATTTTTAGATACATTGTCATTTAAGTAAACACAAAAAATCAAACAAAACTATATGTGTCAATTCACTGATAGCGTCTTCCGGTATTGCTAGTTGAACAATCACTTTTAGCTGGCTTAAAAGTAATACATGCGCGAAGTAACACGTTGGGTACATTTCGCGCGTATGCTAACCGTAGCTTGCTTATATCGAAGGTTGAGTCCATTAAAAGCATACGTATGTTGTCGAGATTTTACGCATTAGGCCAATTAACCTAAATTATGATTATAATATTGAAAAATGGGTAAATGGCCTGCTGTTTGAAGCGCGCACAGATAGTGACATTTCACTAGTTAACTTTTCTGTAATTTAGTATCGAATCTAAAGGTTATAGCGACTCGCCTCGCCGCAACAATATGGCTCAAAAGCGCGATGCGTTCGTTATTTTGCTAGAGATCACTTTGGGGCAAACAAGTAGCAATATCGTTGGTAAAAGCTGAGATTTGTATTATTATGTTTGTGCATTTGATTTTAATGTGATTCAAAAAAAAACTAACAAAAATTTTTACTTCGTTTAATAACATGTAACGAATAAATTAGCAAAGATATTCAAAACTTAGGCTATACATCATGAAAGTCTGCTTTATTATAATGCGCTCATCATAAGTTTTCAAAACTAGATTTTCATTCTATGATATGAGCTTCCTTCAACGAGATGTCAGCAACAACTACACATAAGCTGAACATTTTCACCACCAGAGCTGTCGTGTATATAAAAAATATATTAAATACATACATATATATGTATATGGTACTTATGATTAGTACCGTAACCTAACAAAGTAATGATATATCTTAGCAGAGAAAGATGTGTGAAAACATCTGCAGTGATTGCTAGTGATTTGCTTTAGTCAATGTGTTGAATACTAAAACAACAGATTTTTTAAACAGTGTTGGCTTATATGCTATTATTAAAAACACCCTAGATGGACTAAATTAACGTTTTTACACGGCAACTAATATTTAATATACTTAAATATGCAGAAAAAAATTATCTGTGCAGATAGTGAGGATACAACAAGTGAGCCTAGGATGAAATGTGTCCTGATATAGCAAAATAATAAAGCACATTGCAGCCTTCAGTCACGTGTTCTTACAAAAGAGAGAAACGAATCTGCAAAAAAAACAAAATAATCCTGTATATGACTTATATAAACGAGAAAAAAGCTGATCAATATTCTGCGCTTAAAGACATCGAAGAACAGAGTTTGTATAGCTCTATTCTTTTGAAAAACCTATTGGCAGCATTTTTTGCGAGCGTTCTTTGCCCAACAAGTGCCTAAATAATACTCTGTATCCTTTTCATGGGATCTTCAATATGTACACCTCGTTTGGTCGACTTAGAAGACCAGATCAGCATCGCTTAGTCATAATAATAATTATTATTCCAACAGATAGTGTAAATAAAACGTACGTTGCAATTTACATGGTCACATAGGGTCCTACTTTACATTGATTAATCACTTAATAGCAATTAGCATTAAAGTAATGCCCAGCCCCGCTCAGAAAAACAATTGCATCATATTTTTCTTCTTTTTGGTATGGTAGTAAAAGGTGTACCAGTTCATATCCGGTTTTCGTGTCTAGTACTTAGGTGGTTAGGCATTCCTCTAGTGTGAAACGAAGTGCACTGATGGCTGAGTTGGAGGAGCCAGAGATCTATTCAGAGAAATGTTAATAGCAAACCGCCTTACATCATGTCACCGAGCAAATAATTTACATTACTTACATGCCAGCCAGGAGTTTGAAATCTGGTCAGACCAATTGGTAGCATAGTTTCGATCAGTGTTTGGAGATCATGCAGCAATGACGAATGATGCTTTCAGTACATTTTTCACTCTCTTTTACCACCCAGAAAAAGAATTACCATTCAATGAGTAGTATAAGCGTTTTGAAAATAACAACGAGTTCACTATTTTAGACCTCGAAGCAAAGTTGATGTCTGCCAGACTGCACACGCTAACACGACAGCAAAAGCCCCCAGTCTCACTGTGGGAGACTTACATTCTACTATTAGGAACCCGCATTATTTAAGAACACTAGAAGGAATAATAAGGGTCCGCTGTACAGGGATCCGATATAAATCTTGTCAAGGTATTAAAGCTTAAAGTATTCAAGATCAGATCTTAAGAGAAACTGTTGTACTCACAAAATATTACAAAATCAACATTCAAATAAACAGTCAATCCAAGTCTCACGGTATAATTTTTCAAACTTTGAACGTCGCCCTCGTGAATGAACTTGTGTTGGAAGCTACAGGGGTCTACAGAAGCGTATGAACCTGATTACAACAAGCGTTATGAACGAAGTTGATAGCTGAAAATTCCTGCACACGACGCTGAAGGTAGACAACAAGGATACAAAATTACGCAGAGATACAGGATCTGATCCAATCGTTATAAGTGAACAAGCCCGAAGGGATTGTTGCTCCCCAAAAGTAAACCCCACTGGCTTACCTGCAGCAAACAGAGACATCACCCATGAACTTTGATTCATGAACTTCGATTTGAAAGGAGTATTACGAGAAGGTAAGTTTTTCACAGCTAAAGAACTCGCGATTCTTTTGGAGGTAGGCTGTTTATAAAAAGATATGTGGATTTCGTTGAGCCGAAGTAGCAATGTTAAGCGAGAAGATATGAACAGACTCACTAGAAGAGTTACGGCATGATCTTTTTGTGATTTTCAGTCGGATTCGGCCATTATTAAGAGGCCATTTTAAAGCTAAAAAACAGAGTTTTCCTTGTATTTAAGAGAGATTTAATTTAAGAGGGCCAGTATCATTCGGTAATCGATTGCACTGACCAGTTCTCGTAGACTATGCAATTACTCTCAACAATAAAAGCGGCAGCTAAGGCTATGCGTTGACTTCTCAGCCAGGTACCATACACAACCATGACTATTGTCACCGTTCGGTACTAATTATGGAAGCGATTTAAGGCCAGGAAGATATTTCAGCCAGCTAGACCTTTTAATTAGAAGTTTAGATTAAGATGGAAAGCTCGAGTAGAGCGAAGGCTCCATTGAACTAGGTCATTTACGCTCTGTATTTTCGGCGTAAGGCTTGTTAATAGGTTTAAACGTATGTGTGTCAATGACGTTGAATTTATCGAAAATGCATAGGGCCTACAACTCTCTGAAACTCATACTATCATTTCGACGCAGCGCGTTTTTCGTATGCGTATCGATTTTATCGAGCAACTTGGGTACCTCACGAATGCCACACATGCTATAAGTAGTTCAACATATATCTAGAGTAGTTTAATTTACAAAAGTCTTTGAGAACCAAATAAGCATAGTGCATCCAGTTATGTCCAATAGTTGTTCGCAAGGAACTATTTCGTGGCAAACCTTAAATGGATAGGTTTTACTATTGGTAGGGTAGGTCAGTTAATAAAATACTCACTTCTGATGCTTTCGTGCCCATAGAGCGCATTTTTCAACTAAAGCTTTCAATCTAATCTACTGGTCCATACTAAAAATTGTATAGCGCATCCCCTTCATCGACTTTGGCTTAGCGTTTCGCAGCATTTTTGCCTATATTTTTACGAATACCGATCGGGTGATATACACAGTATTCAATTTATATACGAACTATACATGAGACGGCCTGGGCTTGTACCTCAAGGACAACCCGAAATGGATTTCGATTATCAAGCGGTGTCCGAATGGTTCCTATTAACTATAGAACGGCCGCTGAGAAAACTTTGGGTTCACCTTAGCTGTCAATCGCTGACGCCAGAGTAGGGAAGCTGCTTGAGAATTTGAAGTTGGGCGAACGTTTACTTAAACCCGAGGTAGACCGTACCGGACCACTGACTGGCGTATCGATAAGCTTCGTGCATTCGAATCGTGTTTGCAATGTATGTTTCGTTTTGGTCTCTACGCGAATTGAGCATTAGAAATAAATCCTTGCTTGTTAGCGTTCTCGTATACGGCTGCATAAATGACGCTTTCTTGCAGCTTCCATGCTAACTTAGTTAACGATACGGGCTTTTGTTGGTGGCCTCAATTTTCGACTTCTTCACTTTGTGGACCGCGCGCCGTATGAGGTGTTCGAAGTACGTTCAGCAGTTGAGCGGTTTGCGTAAGAAGTTCGTGAGTAAAAAGATGCGGATTGAAATTGCCTTGTCCTTTACGTAAATCCGTTCGAGATTTAACTAGTTTTAGAGCGCAGTTTCTTTGGATGCTTGAATAGTTAAATTGGCTTGACATCCACATGAGCTGTCAATTAGAAAAGGCCTTCAGAAAGCAATGGATAAGCCGCCCATTAGTTGTGCCACACTAAATCCTCGTTATGCTATACAAATCTGAAGCCCTGCATTTATGTGTCTTCGCGATCATCCATCGTTAATGTTCCGTTTGGACGCTTAATGTGTCCTACACAGTTATTCCTTTTACTCTGGGACGCTCGTTATCTTCTAGTTGATCACTTGATTTTCTCTTGTGGGCATTCAATCCTATGTTGATTCCATTCGTTTTCTATAGGTAAACATAGCTGTTAGTCAATCTGAGACCGCTTGTGCTGGACGTGTTCGTCAATTAGCTAGCGAATTGCTGGGGACAAAGATTCGACTCG